ACCATATACTATTAACATTTATTAGCTTGCCACTTGGCTTAACCATAATGTCAATTATATATGGTAATTTTCTTGCTTTAATATATATATAGATAAGATATTTCATCTACATATATAGATATATACACAGAGTTTTGACCGAGGGCTGCGGGTGGAGGTGCACCCCCTCGGCTCTATATAGATCCGCCCTGCATTGAAGAGATTGAAGGAAAGTCAGTCGCATTTTAGGAATGTTTTTGCTGGGAATTATATGTTTACACATGTCACTCCGACTCTAGTGAATTTGTGCCAATTACAACAACAAATCTCCAAATCTAAAGACCATCGCCGACCCTGATTGCCTCCAAAATGATTTTCATCATTAGGTTCGGCTAGGTATTGTAATTAGTTATCATTTGTTTTAGCATCCATTAATTAGCGAAGCGTCGCACGCCTTGTTGGAAAATAATCACTAGCGGACTCCACCACCTATTTCTCCACTCACCAGACTCTTTTGGAAAACCTATGATCACAATGGACTGATGAACACGGAAATTACTTGGTCATAGCTTCTTAATATCTTTAAAAACGTTAACTACATAACATATCTGTTTATTTAGCTTCCCTAAAAGAAAATTCTTCTCCTTTTTATACTATTAATTTTGTTGCTTACTATCCACAAAGGGCAGAGGGGTGGGGGTGGGATGGAGTGGAGGGTTACGATAGGAAAGAGGGGGGAGAAGAAGACGGGGAGAAGCAGGGTAAAATAAGTCCGAAGGGTTGGGAAACGGGTTGAGATACTTGGGTTGGGAAATTAATTTACTCTTTTTCTTTTTTATGGTTATTCTTTATTATTTTTAATATTTTTAAATCAAAAAAAAATATATCCACTCTCCTTTTTAAAGCGTGTAACCACTCATTTTTCCAACTAAGCAAAATGAATGACACATAAGCTCAGTCAACGGTCAGAGAGGTTGAAAATAGTACATGTTTTAACTGAGTTCGGGTGTCTGGATGAAACTTCATTGAATACAGGGACGGGGATGACAAAGTGACACAAGTATAGGTGTAATTTAGGCTATTCTGTCTTTAAAATCCTATTTCCAAAAACAAAATCAAAGTCATAAATTATTTTCCTCATTAATATTAAACCCTAATGTAATATATATCATCCACATCAAAAGCAGCAACTCAAGCCAAAAAACCAGATTGATATCAGAATGTCTGATAACTTTCCCCATGATATCATCATCCATATATTCAAACAAATTCCCGTGAAATCACTTGTGCGTTTGGGGCATGGTTGTATCAGATGTAGTTGTTTATATGATTATATTTATAAGGCAACCGGACAAAAGATTTTTATTCTGTCTGTGTTTAAAAAATCAAATTTTTAAGGAAATATTGCTGCTATATGATCAGACTCTAATGATGGACAATCCAACTTTGTTTACTATAGGAGAATGCATTTTCTTGGCAAAATCTTCGACCTCTGATAATCATAGGCAGACTCAGGATATAAGGTGGCAAGGGCATATGAGCGGACTGCTCAACTAGTACCCAGTTGAACTTTTGATCTTAAGGGTTCCAAGCAAAATGTAAAACCATTTTCAACATATATGCACATATATATATTTAAAAAAATTACCGAGGTTAACAGGATCCGATGATCCCTCTTCTCTATAAATAGGTCCGCCTCTGCGTTATAATAAGATGGTCAATTTGGATGTTTGATGTATGAATAATGATGGAATGAGTAACTGTTCAAGGAGTAAAGTTTTGGCAATTATAGTTCCACATACTTCGGATGACAGATTTTGTATTCAACATATGGTTTTGGGATTTATGAAGGATGGAGATATGTTGTTTTTGAGGGATGAATTCAAGATTTATGATTCAAAGACATAAAAAGCTAATTTAATTGGTACTATATTATTATGTCAGTTAGGGATGGCAAATGGGACAGGACGGTTGGGCCTTAGCCTCCAACCAGACTAATAGCCTGTTTGGCCAAGCACTTTTGGGCCAAAAATTGAGGTGTTTGACCAAGCTTTTGGAAGGAAAAAAAGTGCTTTTGAGGAGAAGCAGAAAAAAGTAGTTTATCTCCAAAACACTTTTTTGATAAGCACTTTTGAGAAAAATACACTTAGAAGCAATTTTTTAAAGTTTGGCCAAACACTTATTGCTGCTCAGAAGTGCTTTTCAAACTAATTAGTCAAACACAAACTGCTTCCCACCAAAAGTACTTTTGAAAAAAAACACTTCTCAAAATAAGCTAATTTTTGCAGCTTGGCCAAACGGGCTATAAACTTTGCACACCGTTTTGGATCAGAAAAATCAAAAGAGTGCAAATTACAACTCTTTGTGAAATCCTCCAGGTATGCTATCACAATGTTAGGACCATAGAACAACTGGATTGAAAACAATCAGTTTGCGAGATAAAACATTAAAAAAATTATTTAAAAAAAAAATCACCGAACAATGTACCTACGTCTCAGTTAAACTTGGAGATGTAAGTCTGCCCCTAGGTATTCTCTACCTACCCACCTGTGTTGGTTGCGGGTACAGGTACCCTCTTGCTCACTAGGAAATAAGAAGCTTGCTTTCCCATTGTCATAAATCTATATCTCTGAAGGACATAACATGGCACGAACATGGTTCATCCCATTTAGTTAATGCAGCATCTAAACTGTGTCATTATCTTACAATCGAGAGAAAAGAGAAACTGTACAGTGGCGATACATTAAGTCATGGTCTGGTCTTTAGGTTAGAGATGGAGCAGAACTCACGTCCGACCCAACCTCACCAAATGCTGCTGGTGCTTTTCAGCAGCCGCCTTATCAGCAGCTTCACGCTTGAGTGCCCTCTTTGCACGCCGGCCTACAGCTTCTTTAGGAGCAGCATCAGCCTCTTTCTTCTTAGTCCGGCGTGACGAGCCAGCACCTACGTCCTGGGAATTTGGTCGAGGAACAGGCATTGCTTCTTGCCTTCCTGCCCTGACATATCCATTGTCTCCCCATCTCCGGTTGCCTATTCGGAGATGGGATGAACTATTAAAATAGAAGTCTGCTAGCTCTTCGTCTTCATCTTCATATGCATAAAGATAATCCATGTTATCATCGACTTCTTGTTTTTCCTCCACAATCAAGGGCCTGAACCATGATGCTCTGAGGAGAAGGCACACACTCTCCTCAAACATGTAATCCTGAATGCTGTTGAAAAAAAAAAAATTCTTTTCTTAGGTTAAAAATCACCAACCACAACTATGGGACATCCAAAACAAAATTAAAAAAATAAATCCCGTGAATTTGACGAGCGACTAAACCATCTCAGAGATAAACAATCAAGTTCAAGAAAAATGTATATCAACTACCACACTAGCATATTATTAGCATTATCATGTAACACAAATATTTTACATAAGGACTTTAGCCAAAACTAATCAATTACCTTCCATCAAGTGAGCGATGAATGTGGAGAAACTCAAATGGATGTTTACACTGAGGGCATGTTGGTTGCTTTTTGTAGGTTGCCCACCGAAGGATGCATGTCACACTGAACACCAAAGTAAGGAGATAAATATTAATGTCGAGACATTTCCCCTATTACAAGAATGGACTTGCTCTGAAAAAAGAAAAGACTTGCAAAAGATACCAAAGCTTAGAGACTAATTCAAACCCTATAAGATCATTATTATGTCATAAAAATAACAGATCAGGTCATAACAAGATAAGGAGACACTAATGAAGTTCGTCACATTCACACTAAAATCCAACTGATTTAATCCTTTGTTCTTTTAACAAGCAAGCTTATAGAAGAACTTAACACAGACTAAAATAGAGAACCATCCAATTTGATGTACAAAAATAATCACAAGTTAGACCAAATCCACCAACATCAACAAAAGGATTGTTAATACGCCAGTGAAACAGAATATATTGTGGTTCAGAGTAGGAGAGTTTTCTGCTGACTACCAAGGAGTAAGAGAAAAGTGCCAGAAAATCATTAGCCCCTCC